GCGTCTCTAGAGAGGCGTGTCTCTAGAGTAGAAGCGAAGGTGGCGGAAGACATCACTGCAATTGAGGATTTGGGAGCTAACTTTGCCCAAGTCCAAAGCGATGTTCAAGGAATGGCTGGTACGTTGACAAGCTTAGAGAGCAACCATGATGGGATGCGAGAAGAGCTCGTGGCTCTCATCACCAACACCATCTCCGAGTCAATGAACAACGCCATTGAAGTTGTGAAAGAGCATGTCCAGGCCGAGCTGGTCGGCGTAAAGGAGGAGATTGCAGACCTCAAGAGTGACGTCGAAAGAGGTACTTGTGTGATGGTAACGTGGGAAGATTTCAAGAGAGAAATCAAGAAGCAGTTCTACACAGAGAACGTGGAGTTTGAAGCCCGTTCGAAGTTGAGAAGACTCAGCCAGAAGGGTGGAGTTCGAGAATATGTGAAAGAATTCTCGGAACTGCTTCTAGAGATCCCGCACATCACGGACAAGGAGGCCATGCACGGCTTTCTTGATGGGCTGCAACCATGGGCCAAGATGGAGATGCAATGTCAAGGAGTGCAAGACCTTGCAACTGCCATGGCCACGGCGGAGTCTTTTGTAAAGTACAAAAGGCAAGAGAGCAGCGGCAAAGAGAAGAGTTCAAAGCCCAACAAGGGTGGAGAACAGCAGAAGCCTTTCGAGGAGGGTTCTCGCACTCAACAACACCAAGGTGGTTCGAGCAAAGGGGGTAAGTACGAACCAAAGCCCGTATCTTGTTTCCTTTGCGACGGACCACATCGAGTGCGGGATTGCCCAAGCAGGGCGAGATTGGAGGCCATGGAAGCTCAAGATTGGGAGACCAAGGCGGCGGAGGCCAAGACTGGCTCAATCCGCAAGCTTGGTGCAGTGAAGCCGACGTCAAGGAGAGCAAGCGCGAGAGGTGCTATGTTCTGGCGCAATTCATGCAAGGCGAGTCAAAAGCCTTGGTTGATACCGGTGCCACGAAAAACTTCCTTCGCATCGAGGAGGCAAACCGACTGGGTATTGCCTATGAGAAGGGGCAAGGGAGGCTCAAGACGATCAACTCGGAGTCCATCCCGATCCATGGAGTTTCTCACAACGTGCCAGTGAAGCTCGGCGAGTGGGAAGGCCTCATTAAATTTTCCGTCGTCATCATGGACGATCACCAAGTCATCCTCGGCATCAACTTCCTCGACAAGTAGGGAGTGCTCTTGAAACCCAACTCCAACACGATGTGCTTGGAGAAGGAAGGGGAGTTCCATGCGGTCCATCTCTTGAGAGAAGATGCCCTCCATAGTGCTCTATCCGCTATGTAGGTATTGAAGGGGTTCAAGAAGAATGAACCAACCTTTCTTGTGTCCTTGAAAATGGAGGAAGAAGGAGACTCAACGGGAATCACAACTCCCATCATCGAAGGCGTCCTCAAAGAGTTCGATGAAGTGATGCCATCGGGGTTTCCCAAGAAGTTGCCACCAAGAAGAGAGGTGGACCACAAGATCGAGTTGGAGCCAGGAGCGAAGCCCCCTTTGTGAGCACCATACTGCATGTCGCCACCGCAGTTAGAAGAATTGAGGAGGCAGCTCAAGGACTTGGTGGACGCAGGCTACATGCGGCCATCGAAGTCACCTTTTGGAGCACCAGTGCTGTTCCAAAAGAAGAAGGAAGGGTCGTTGCGCATGTGCATCGACTATAGAGCCATCAACAAGTTGATGGTGAAGAACAAGTGGCCGATTCCCAACATTGCCGACTTGTTCGACTAGCTTGGAGATGTGATGTGGTTCACCAAGCTAGAACTTCGCTCGGGCTACTATCAAGTGCGGATAGCAGAGGGAGACGAGCCAAAGACTACTTGTGTGATGAGGTATGGCTCTTACGAGTTTCTTGTGATGCCATTCGGTCTCACCAACGCACCAGCCACGTTTTGCACTTTGATGAATCAAGTGTTCGAGCCATTCTTGGACCGGTTTGTCGTGGTCTACTTGGATGACATCGTCGTGTATAGAAAAACACTCGATGAGCATGCCAAGCATCTACGCCAAGTCTTCCAAGTCCTTCGCGACAACGAGTTGTATGTCAAGAGGGAGAAGTGCACATTTTTCGCCATGGAGGTTCCATTCTTGGGGCACATCATTGGTGGAGGCAAGTTGAAGATGGATGGGACGAAGGTGCAGGCAATCCAAGAATGGGAGCCGTCGACGAAGGTGCTAGAGTTGCGGTCATTCCTCGGCCTTGCCAACTACTATCAGAGGTTTATCAAGGGCTACTCCAACATTGCATCACCCTTGACGGATCTCTTGAAGAAGAACAAGGCGTGGGATTGGTCGGAAAAGTGCCAAGAAGCATTCAAGGCCTTGAAGGCAGCGGTGATGAAGGAGCCCGTGATCGTGCTCCCCAACCCGACGTTGGCCTACGAAGCGCAGACCGATGCATCCGACTTCGCAATTGGAGTTTTGTTGATGCAAGATGGGCATCCCATTGCCTTCGAGAGTCAGAAGCTCAGCGAGACGGAGAGGCGATACACCGTTCCAGAGAAGGAGATGACGACCGTGGTGCATTGCTTGCACACATGGAGGCACTACTTGTTGGGGTCAAAGTTCGTAGTGAAGACGGGCAACGTGGCAACGAGCTACTTTCTGACGCAGAAGAAGCTCACCCCTAAGCAAGCGAGGTGGCAAGACTTTTTGGCCGAGTTCGACTTCGTCATAGAGTACAACCCAGGCAAGGTGAATTCCATCGCAGATGCTCTTAGCTGCAAGAGTGCAGCCGCAAGCATCAGCCAACCCATGTTTCCTTTGAAGGAGCGGATCGTCGAAGGCCTTGGCCATGACCCCTTCGCCAAAACCGTAGCGGAGTACATCGAGCAAGGTAAAACTCGACGGTTTTGGATGAAGATGGGCTCATCGTGACCAAGGGAGAGCGGGTGTTCGTGCCAAGATGGGCCAACTTGAGGAAGGAGATCATGAAGGAGTGCCATGATTCCAAATGGGTGGGCCATCCCGGCATCGAGAGAACGCAAACGCTCATCGAAGAAGCATACTTCTGGCCGCGTATGAGAGACGACGTGGAGATGTATGTGTAGACTTTTCTTGTGTGCCAACAACACAAGATGGAGCAGAGAAGCCCGACAGGCTTGCTAGAGCCCTTGCCCACACCTCAAGGACCATGAGAGAGTGTAAGCATGGACTTCATCATTGGACTTCCCAAAGTCGATGGATGCGGTTGCATCATGGTTGTGGTGGACAGGTTCTCGAAGTATGGAGTGTTCATTCCTGGGCCAAAAGACTTGACGGCAGAGGATGCGGCTTGTCTATTCTTCAAGAACATGGTCAAGTATTGGGGCATTCCTAGCAACATTGTGAGCGACAGAGATGGGCGCTTCACGGGCAGGTTTTGGCGAGAGTTGTTCAAGATCATGGGCTCAGACTTGAACTTCTCGACGACATTTCATCCTCAAAGCGACGGACAGAAGGAGCGCGTGGATGCCTTGTTGGAGGTGTACTTGCGGCACTACGTGAGTGCAAACCAACGAGATTGGGTGAAGTTGATGGACACGACACAGTTCTCCTTCAACTTGCACCGTAGCGAGTCGACCAACACGAGTCCATTTGAGTTGGTGATGGGGCAACAACCTTTGACACCTACGACGGTGGCAATGGGTTATAGAGGCAACAATCCAGCAGCCTACAAGTTTGCTAAAGGCTGGCACGAGAAGATGGAGATGGTCAAGTCTTACTTAGCTCGCGCTAGTAAGAAGATGAAGAAATGGGCGGACAAGAAGAGGCGGCACTTGGAGTTTGAAGAGGGAGACATGGTGATGGTGAAGTTCTACCCTCATCGCTTCAAGCATCTCAAGAACGTGCACAAGGGACTGCTTCGCCGCTATGAAGGGCCATTCCCATCGTGAAGAGGATTGACAAAGTGGCGTACAAGGTGGAGGTGCCATCGCACTTAGAGATCCATCCGGTCTTTCATGTGAGCCAACTCGAGGCTTTCAACGAAGACAAGGAGGACGAGCAGCGAAGAGAGTCGCAGCGCGCACCAACACTCATCACCAAGACACACGACCATGAAGTTGAAGAAATCATGGCGCGTCGTGTCATTCCTCGTCGTGGCGTACATCCAAGTTTCGTGGAGTACTTGGTCAAGTGGCGCAACCTTCCGGAGAGTGAATCAACTTGGGAAAAAGAGCTCACGCTTTGGAAGAACAAGGACTTGATCGAGGTTTTCCATCAAGAGGACGCGACGAGGGCGTCGCGAGCATAGGTGGGGGAGGATGTCACATGTGGCAGATGACATGGCGCCAACAAGGTGACAACATGGCGGCTGCACATGTGGCATGTATGGAAGACTAGTAGCATAGAGATGCTCCTAGGATTCTCCACCTTAATAGAGAACTTAATGGTGCACTTATGAGTCACATAATGGGTGACACTTATAGAGTGCATAATGGGGGGACTTAATGGGGTGTATTGATGTAGAGGGATATTATGAGGGGCATTGATGCCTTGTATGAGGAGAGGCCTATATAAGGAGCCATCTCCCTCACTTGTAACTCATTCCATCATTTTTTAGAGTAATACATACTAGAGAGTTCTCCAATTCCTTTGTCTTTGTTCTTGTTTCTTTGCTTGCAAGTGAGTTGAGAGCTAGGGCCGCACGATCGAGAGTAAGGTCGTGACAGTGGTCAATGGAGATGTGGCTTGGGATCTCAATAATGTTAATCTAAAGGATATTTGGAGACTTTATGCTTTCTTTTATATATGTACTTGTTGTTGCTTAAATAAGACTGTCCTTATGGCTAAATAACCATTTCTATTGGTCAACTACCAACTTTGGTGGTGTTAACTCTTTGACTTTTGCCTTTGAACATTATTGGGTGACTACGAAAAAAAAAACTAATTACTCCCTTGATAGAAAAATCATGTATCATATACTTAAGCACAGGATCGGAGTAAGATTTTAAGCCATTTGTTGTATCGGTAACAAAGGGAACAAATCAAGATTTTAAAATGCTCTCTCTGAATACTCTTGCCTCTTCACCGTCGGCGACAAGCCCAGGCCTGTCTGGACGGCCGCCTGACGGTCCAGCTCTCATCTCCCTGGAGAAAGATCAAATATCGAGTGAGTCGCCGGCTCAACCTATGAACTTCAAAGCGGCACTTGCTGGGATCGCGACAGAAACATCGAGATCGAAATCTCAATGGACTTTTGTAGGCACAAATGATCTGGAAGCGGGTTCATTTCAAGGCGAACCAGAGTTGAGGATATCGGAAAATCTCAAGGAAAGACTATGCCAGCCTTGGAAGAAGACGCTTGTTGTGCGATTACTGGGTCGATCTGTGGCCTTTTCATACTTATGTTCGCAACTTCGCTGGATGTGGCGACCGATGGGTTCGCTGGAGATTTTGGATTTAAACAATGATACTTTCTTGGCGACCTTTGGGAATGATCAAGATTACTTGAAAGCCCTAACTGGCGGCCCTTGGGTTGTCCTGGATCATTACCTTGTGGTTCATCAATGGTCGCCGGCTTTCCGCACTTCTGATAAGCCCTATAGGTCAGTGGTGGCATGGGTTCAGTTCCCTGAACTGCCCGTTCACTTCTATCACCGGGAAATTCTCTTTGCGATCGGTAATCTAGTTGGCAGGACGGTTAAGCTGGATTATCACACAGAAAACTTGGAAAGGGGCAAGTTTGCTCGTATTGCCATTGAGCTTGACATGAGCAAGCCTCTCCCCACGCGCATCAGGCTCGATGGAGCATGGCAGCAAGTGTTATACGAAAACCTTCCAACGATATGCTACTCCTGTGGGCGAATAGGTCATAAAGAAGACTCCTGTCCGTCGAAGGTTCCACCTCCTCCGCTGACGATTATGCTGGCGCCTGATCAAGTGCAGAATTCCCCGCCGGTGGCAGAGTCGCCGGAAGTCCCCGCCGGCTATGGCCCTTGGATGCAGGTGATCAGAAAATCAAAGAGCCAGATAAGGAAACAGGTATTGGATCAGCCGAGATATCAGGGGAACAGATCAGGAAAGAATCAAGAGGAGGGCGTGAGTTCGGGAGGAACTAAAGGAAATGGGAAGATTGATGTTGGGAAGATTAATCAGGGCACAAAAGGAAAGGTAGAACAGAGCAAAGGATCGGGTCAGGGATTACAAGGAAAAGATAAAGGAAAGGAGGTGCTGGGGGGGAAAGCTAACAACGGTAACAGTAAAGCTGGGCTGGCCCAAGAGTGGAGGCAGGTTGAGCCCAAATCCAAGGAGGTGGCTTCAGCTGAAGGGAAAGGGGAGGCCAAGGCGTCTTCTTCCAAGCCCACAGTGCTAAGTGTGGCTCAGCCCAATCCACAGGCCTCTCAAAAAGTAGTGGAAATGAACAACACTAAGATCCAAATCCTGGCTGTCCCTGATCTGCACCTCCAACAGAAAGAAAATCGGAACCCCAACTCCGAAGTTCTCTCCTCGCGGAAACAGGAGCACAAACAAAAGAAAACTCAAGCCCTGCAACCGAAGGGGATAAACCTCAAATCGACCAAGAAATCGCTTCAAATTCTCAGTCCTGGGAAGAAGGAGACTCATTTGAAACACAAGCAGACTGCGCTTCCAATTTCCCTAGAAGCAATCGAAGAGTTCTGCAATACTGCTCAGAAACAAACGGAGCTCACGGACGGTAACAGCGGGTCGACCTCAGGGGATGTGGCTATGGGGGAAACTCCTTTGGAGAAAGCACTGGTGGCCACGGCTCAAGAAGGGGATAAGACGACCCCAATTCCCACAAGCTCATGAACCTCGACCCGCACTAGACTCTGCTCCCCCTTCTTCTCTTCCTTGAATTTTTATTAATGGTTTATCAAACTAACTTTAAAATTTTATCCTGGAATGTGTGTGGTGCAGGTAGTAGGAAATTCAAAAGGGCTATTCGCCTGATGAGGGATGTTCACAAACCTGATTTCTTGATTATTTTGGAGTCGCAGATCAGTGGAGACAAGGCTAATACAGTGTGCAGCAAGCTGGGATATGATGAGATCATCAGAGTAGATGCGGATGGAAGATCGGGTGGTATCTGGCTAGCGTGGAAGTCTGCGGATTTTAGGGTGACGCCTCTGAATGCCAGCAAACAACATATTACTGTTAAAGTGGAGAAAGTTGGTCAGGAGGAATGGATTCTTTCCAGCATATATGGCAGCCCCAAATATAAATATCATAACCTTCTCTGGGAGCAACTCATTGGCTTCAGCAAAGTTTGGAATGGCCCGTGGATTATCATAGGGGACTTCAACGCGATCTCCTCCCCAACGGAGAAAAACAGTGCTTGCTCAGCCAGGGACTTCAGACGATGTAAGAAGTTCCTAGGGTGGATGAACGAAGCTTGCTTGACGGACTTGGGCTTCTCGGGACCGCGTTACACGTGGTTCAGGGGAGATACAAACTCAACTCATAAAGCTAGTCGATTGGACCGAGCCCTTTGTAATGACTCGTGGATCTCAGCCGTCCCCAACACTGTGGTTCAACACCTCCCGAAGATTCATTCAGACCATCTGCCGATCCTTGCAACTTATTCTTTCCAGCAGGTGGCTAACGGGGATGCTAAACCGTTTCGATTTGAGGCAGCGTGGCTACTGCATCCTCAATTCAATAAATTCATGGAGGATAGTTGGCTCAAGGACTCTAATTTCTGCAATTCTTTGAACGAGATGACGGGGAGGCTAAAGGATTGGCACAGGGACGTGTTTGGCTCCACTTTTCGTCAAAAAAGAAGACTGCTTGCGAGGCTCCAGGGAGTGAATACTAGACTGGCGGACTCGTTTAGGCCGAGCCTCCTAAAGCTGCAGATTAAACTCGAGAAAGAATTGGATGTCATCATTTCCCAAGAGGAAGTTCTTTGGTACTAGAGGGCAAATGAAAAATGGGTAAAGTTGGGAGAACAGAATACCTCTTACTTTCATCAGCAAGCTACCAGAAGGCGAAGAAGAAACAGAATTATGGCTCTGAGGGACTCTCACGGAAATTGGGTTGATAGCCAGGAGGACCTTAAGGCCTTAGTGATGAACTTCTATGAAAACCTGTTCACCCAGGAGGATGGTGTTTATGAAGATCTGATGCCTAGAGGCAGATTCCCTCGGTTGCAACAAAGTGATCTCCTGGAACTGCTTCACCCTTTTCATATCTCGGATTATCATAAAGCCATCTTTGGGATGAAGCCGATGTCGGCTCCGGGGCCTGATGGGTACCAGGCTGTCTTCTACCAGAAATTCTGGTCTCTTGTGGGAAAGAACTTGACAGAGATGGCTACTCATTTCTTTGAAACAGGGAATCTTCCTAATGAGGTTTTTGAGTCCACGATGGTTCTCATCCCGAAGGTTGACCACCCGGAAACTCCGGCTCAGTTCAGACCCATCAGCCTTAATAATGTGGCTTTGAAAGCAATAACCAAAGCCATAGCCAATAGACTCAAGCCTCTTATGCCTAGTCTAGTGGCTCCGACCCAGAGTGGGTTCATCAAGGGGAGACAAACGAATGACAACATCTTATTGCTTCAGGAGATCCTCCACTCTCTGAGGAAAAGGAAAGGGTCCAAGGGAGGTCTGGTAATCAAGATTGATCTCGAGAAGGCTTATGATCGGCTTCATTGGAGTTTCCTTCGGGACACTTTGGGTGAGATTGGCCTTCCTAGTTCTTGGATTAGCAGGATTATGACGTGCGTGGAGAGAAATCAGATGCGGATCAACTGGAATGGCGAGCTGACTCCGGTGATCAATCCTACTAGAGGCGTCAGACAGGGAGACCCCTTATCCCCTTTTCTCTTTGTTTTATGTATGGAAAGATTAGCGCATCGTATTGAGAAAGCTGTAGAGGAGAAACTTTGGAAACCCCTTGCTCTATCCAAGGGAGGTCCAAAGTTGTCTCATCTCTTCTTTGCTGACGATCTGATTTTATTTGCTGAAGCTGAAGGAGGTCAAATTGAGGTGATTCGATCATGCTTGGAGGACTTCTGCTTGAGCTCGGGACAGAGAGTGAACCTTCACAAGTCAGCCATGTTTGTGTCACCCAATATCCAGAGAGACAGAGCTCAGAGACTCAGTGCAAGAGCTGGGATTACTCTTACCAGTGATCTAGGCAGATATCTGGGTCTTAATGGGGTGTATTGATGTAGAGGAACATAATGAGGGGCATTGATGCCTTGTATGAGGAGAGGCCTAATGGTGCACTTATGAGTCACATAATGGGTGACACTTATAGAGTGCATAATGGGGGGACTTAATGGGGTGTATTGATGTAGAGGGACATTATGAGGGGCATTGATGCCTTGTATGAGGAGAGGCCTATATAAGGAGCCATCTCCCTCACTTGTAACTCATTCCATCATTTTTTAGAGTAATACATACTAGAGAGTTCTCCAATTCCTTTGTCTTTGTTCTTGTTTCTTTGCTTGCAAGTTAGTTGAGAGAAAGGCTGCCTAGCGCTCTAACGGAATTGAGAGCTAGGGCCGCACGATCGAGAGTAAGGTCGTGACAGTGGTCAATGGAGATGTGGCTTGGGATCTCAATAATGTTAATCTAAAGGATATTTGGAGACTTTATGCTTTCTTTTATATATGTACTTGTTGTTGCTTAAATAAGACTGTCCTTATGGCTAAATAACCATTTCTATTGGTCAACTACCAACTTTGGTGGTGTTAACTCTTTGAATTTTGCCTTTGAACATTATTGGGTGACTACGAAAAAAAAAAACTAATTACTCCCTTGATAGAAAAATAATGTATCATATACTTAAGCACAGGATCGGAGTAAGATTTTAAGCCATTTGTTGTATCGGTAACAAAGGGAACAAATAACTCTTCGTACTGTGCTAGATAATAAATATGGACAAGCGATCCACCTTGGAACATTGACACAATATTTGCACGTTTTATGCCATTTGTTGTGTCGGTAACCAACGGTAGAGTATAATCTGCAAGACTTTACCGGAACCACCCTTAATCGAAGATGGATCCTCCTACCCCTTGTTGATCAAAGGAACTCGCCTAAGCAGCAGATGAAGCTCCAGCTAGGCATCTGGAAACGACGTGCATTCAATTTCTAATGACTCTCACATAAACCAGTACCTCTACGTTGTGCCCACTAGCTCAATACCACAGCACTATTCCTGAATTCACACTTTCTGCTAAGCAAAGATGTTTATTCATTCCATTAGCCCGCCAAATGTCTCCAAAAATTGAGACAACGGAGTTGTGATGGCTTAGCATTTCCTAATGATACTCGCCACATTTTTGCCAATATCTTCCTTTGTTTGCTCCGAAACTGGAATATCCCCTAGATACATGTCAAAGAAAGCCCCTGCATAAATCAAAACATATGTTCAGTTTACGCAAAGCGAATTCCCAGCAACACTGCCATTCCAAACCCCCAGCAGACACCTACACCACATATGGTTAGCATTCATCAGAGAGGACAACTTACTGCATAGTTCCTTGCTCTGGATTGCTCCAATATGATTTCCTTCAACTACATGAAAAAGAAAGAGCTCTACACTCAGACATAACTGGAGGCACATATACCACTATGACTCATCATTACTAACATTAAGTAATTTGAGTGAGAAACCAATAATCAGCGCCAGAGGGCAGAGCAGGTACATGCAAGCTTTAGATTTCAAGGATGAACCTACAGAAGCTCACTTTCTCAAACGTGAATGGATGCAACCTAAAGACCAACTATTTCTTACTTTCAGTTATTAGATGGCCATCAGCTGTGCGCCTAAAATCAACAGTGGTTCCCTGCAGAACAAATCAGTTGAGACGGTAGTCTCAATAAAACCCTCAAGATAGTAAAACAGTTTAATTTCAACAGCAGCAACGCGGATTGCCAAGTGGGAAATTACTGCGGGCAATGGAATATCTTTTGTAAACAATGAGCTAAATGCTTCCAGGCAACTGTAATCAGTGCTGGGGTTTGTCTGCTAAGCCAAAAAGAAAAAAGAAAAAAAAAAAGAATCAATTAGAATGTCACAGATTGTATGCTACTCAATCTGTTCCTCTCTCTTCGTCAACTTGAGAATGAAGTAGAATGCAATATTGAAATTTTACAGCTCAAGGAATATGATTTGATGGCATACCTTCAGTAGTCGAGCTCGAAGTGATTTTTGAAAAGCACTGCAATCATGTAAACACAAAGGTCCATGCTTTTAACAAGTGAGAAGTCCGCCAGATTTCTTTCAAAATAGTTGCTACAGTGAAGCATCCATCAGAGCAAATGCCTACTACTCTGAACTCATCTGGATCTAACTAACATACAGCTAAAAGCAAACAGAAACATGAATAACCACCATACATCTTGAATCAAACAGAAACATGTCCTCCCATAAAAAAAATAAAAAAATAAAAAAACAGAAACATGTCTTTTCCATGAGTTCTTGTAGAAAGTACTCTGATACTCAATGAATCTTGTTCTTTATTCATGATTAAGGAATCACTAAACGATTTAAACTCACAAGGAAATAATGACCTGTACAGGTAGCTACTTTAAATCATTACCAACAATAGAGGACAAATGTGTTGTAGCAAAACCCCATTTTGTTTTGTTCAATTCAACTGAAGTTCATTGATACATTACTGCATACACACTTATGCTAAGATCCAACCCCATCCTAAAATACTGGCAAGACAAATAATAGAATCATAATATTTATTTAAGAAGGCACAAATCAAAATTAGAAATCACGTACTCTCTCACAGTATTGATTTTCATTCCATTGCAGTTTATCACAAGACGAACAGTCATGCCAATATCCTCCCTGTACAACTCATAAAATGTTAGGAAACAGTTTTATAAATTTAATACATTGTACTCGTAAAAAAATCAAATTTGTTTACATTAAACAAACATTTTGGTTATGCAGTCTGATCTACCAACCAAAGTGCCCAACCATGCCAATAAAAGAAAGTAGTTACAAAATTCATTTAATTTCTGATGGGAAAAACAGGAGAGAACAAAGGCCGGGAGAGAACTTTCTAAAGCGATTTCTCATCTTAGCCAAGTCACTTGGGAAGGAATTTAAAAGCAATTGACTCACAAGGTAACAATAGTAAAGACGTTTCAGAACATCCTCGCAAGCTTCTTATATAGCTTCATAGCCTAGCTAGGAAATTGAGAATATATATAAATATAAAATATATGTCGGCCCAAGGTTTAAATACTAGGTGATTTGGGTGTTTTCATGAGATTGAAAAGTTAGGAGCTGCATCATCACCACTGACATCCCAAGGTTACCCTTAGATGAATATTTATCTAACAAAAATGAAGTCCAAGAAAAGATGCAAAATTTGGAGGAAAAGAAAACTCAACCATGAGGTTAAGTTGCTAGATACCTGAGAAGGTCCTGGTAGAAGTCATGCTTCTTGCCTACTTCACATACTTGATTGGAAGCATATTTCCAGCCCAACTTCTCACAGAGCGAGTTAGGATGGACATCTGTCAGAGAAATAATAAAATATGAAAAGACAACTAATGATCCCAGAATTGAACTAGCGATCAAGTGTGCATGTACTAGTCAGCAAAATGTATCAAGGACTTACAGAAACCAAATGCGTAGACTTTAAGAGACTTTATTTTGATTATTTTCATGGTTCTTGAACCAGTTCCAACAAGGATCTGAAAGCATGATGAAGCAGTTTATAGTTTGAGTAGTCGAAAGAAACTAAAGTTCTCTCAAACTAGAAGAGTGCCATGTATAATAATTGAGATTAAGAAGGCAAAAAGTGGTTTAGAAAATTGAACTACAACCATATAAAGCGCAGAAACTATATAAAATTCAGAGCTATTTCCTCACAACTAATGTAGTTTGTGAGGAAAAGTCAACAACATTGCTGAAATGGTTCATATTACCAGAGGAAAACAAACAGTATATGAATATCTCTGGAATCTATCTTCCTAACAAACATGTCAGGTAGGAATAGGAGAGGTAAAATTGTAAATATAGAAGCACAGGAAGATCAACAGAAAAGAGCACCAAAATACTAAAAAATTCAATTCAACCTTGGAAGCAAAATTGAGCTATCGTAAATGCCAAAGAACCTATTAACCAATCGTGGCAGAAAGGTTTATCATGGTGTCAGTATGGTGATAGGAAGGGAGTCCCACATACAAGAGAATAAATAAACTAAAATATTTTGGCTGATTTCTATCCTTTACCAACAAGTAGAAGCCCCAAAATGACGCAATAAGACAGATAAACAACACATCAAGCAGTAGAGATACCTCATGATGCTAATATAGCTGCAAATATATTCATTTGAATTTATCAAAGTGGTAGTTGATGTGGCAAAGCAATCAGTGCAACCACAACAAACAAGCATTGTCGGAAATAGACATGAATGAAAAATGGAAGCATCCAGACCAGGCACTTAGAACACTATACAAGACATTCCACATATATTACCTCCGGGGATAGATTAGATTTCTTCTCCTGGGTTGAACTATTAAGTACTATTGGGAACTCAATGCCAGTTCTTGGCTCAATTGCATGATTTTCCCAGTTTATGTCAGGACATGAACAGATTGAACATCCCCGAGGTTCAATGGTACACTGGCTTTGATCAAAGAAAGTGCGCACTCTAACTGCTTCATTATCAGGGTTCCCACCTAATAATTCAGGAGATCTGACAATGACACAGGTGTCATATTATAAAAACCAAACCACCACCTTCTGATGGTAAGGGAATGCATATATCAACTTTATGCAAAAGGAGAGCGAATTAACAGTGAATGGAAGCTTCAAGTTGACTCACGAATTCTTAAATGGTGGAATGAAGGCGCTAGCTAATGATAGCACAGGTAATGACTGGTTCCCGTCAGCTTCTCTAGACATTAGCCTTGTCAAAATACCAGAGATCTTTTTTAACACCTCTGAGGAGAAAGGTTTTCCTTTTGAGGCAGAACCAGAGCAAAACCCATCAATATATAAGTCCATCGGAGTGGCGTGCTTAACTTGCTCCGAAACCTGAAAGCTTTTGTGGCTTGAAACATGCTTAATTCTCGATACTTGCCTGTTCAAATAGGAACTGGATGTACCAGTAAACCAAAGAAGTAGAGAACCTGCTACCTTTGAAGTACGACGAAAAGCTTCTTCGGTAATACGGCCAGGGCCATCTAACAACCGAGACTGATCCGTGAAGTTATCCATAAATGAGCTAAATTGAGCAAATAAGTGGTTGCTGCAACTATGTGAGAGAAGGGGCACGACAGGTAAGATATATGGAGACTCTCCTTTCATGTCTAGGAGAAACCACCAATAATCACGCATGACTATTTTGGAATCAAGCAGGTTTACCAGATCTGTAACCTTGATTCTGCAAATGCCAACCTCTGACAGCCAAAACAGAATGTCCTGCATAAATTACGACTAATCAGCAAGCTTTTGAACAAATTACATTAAACAGAAATGAATGGCCTTTTCAAGATTGATGTAAATGAACTGAAAGCTCTATCTCACCTAGCGTTGCAGACTTAACAAGAAGGACAAAGTGCAAGAAGAAAACAGAGACAAGGGAAGAATCCATGAGTCAAAAACAAATAATTTCATAAAACAAACCATTCTCTAATTCCAAATTGTTTTAATTCTTCAGGATCCCATGTTGTTATAGTGAGATCCCCAAAAGGTAGAAATGAATATGTCAGCAGGAGTTTAAGCAAGCAAAGACTCTGGCAGCATACAAACGTACCAAAAACATGTTTTTTCTCTCAATACCAACAAGCATGCAGAGAGAAATAAAGTTCCTATGTTTATTAATTTCAATCAATTTGGTTGTACAAAATACATAGAAGAGCTAAGATATTAGAAAGCAGCCAACAAGGAAATCGCCTCGAGCTATTTACAAACTCGCTCTTTTTTATAAGAAAACTATACAAGCTCAGCCACCTAAAGGCGCAACTAAACAGGGGGGGACCTGTTTTCATCATGTTGGGATTGGATTGCAGTACGCAACTGGCCTAAGGAGCTATGTCACAAACCAGATTGACAATTCAAATCAACAATCAAGCTCAATTTGAAGCCGCAACAGCTCTTTTACCATCACCTTTCGAACCAAGCAAGAACAAGTTCTTAGATTGTTGCAATAGTTATTGGTGAAGGAGTATAACAATGAGTTCACATGTTTCTGTCCTCTGTTCAACTCGAGAGTGTTTTCCTCAGAAGAAACAAATCACGAACTAGCAAGAAAGTTATTCTATTACGAACTCATTTCGAACCAGGTCATTCAAAAGCACTTTCAAAACCATATTCAAGGACATTTATTACGAAGTTCATGATTACCGTTCACTAAAAAATGAGAAGATCAAGACAATCTTCCGTTCTATCACGACAATGACAAAAGGGATCTTGCTCAAGTCAGACGAACAATCACCAATCATATAAGGAACGATACACTTCAATATAAATTTACAATGATCAATTACAAGGGGATGAGCAGTTGAGTTCTTCCAACCCAAAAAAAAATACCACGTTCCACAAGGGTGAATCAGCAAGCAATCTTCCATGCACAAGTGAAAATGATTAAACAAACACATCCAACCCGCAAGAGTCCTTACAAACATGCATGCTTGCTCCTATCAACGAATAGCAGAAGCAAGAAGCTATACCTGGGGTTCAGATTGATAATCAAGAACAGGGGAATGGGCAGGTCCAAGTTGAAGACTGCTTCTTTAAGGTTTCGGCCTCTCTCTTCCCATCAAAGAATGCAACAGCGATTCGGAAATGGTGGAACTGAGGATTGCAGCAGGACCACGAGCGTTGTCCTGCAGAGGAGAGATTTCTGCCTCGTCAATCTTAGTCTATCGATCTGCTCGTCGATTTCCTTCAGCAGCCGGTGGCGACAGGCGACAACAACGTGACAACGATGGTGGTGGATGTTTCTTTATTTCCTTTTTCTTCTTTTTCCGCCGACCTTTCTCGGATTTTTGTCTCTACATGAAGAAACGAGAAGGAATGCCGGTAGTTGGCTGGCGCAGCGATTCCGGAGGCGACGGAAAGCGGGAAAGGCACGGCGAAGCGATCAGAGGCGGTGGATCCTCCGAATTATTTTCCACATCCTCGGCTAAAATTTCGGGCCCCCTAGATTTTCTTTTTTCTCCTCGTCGTTATGTAATTTTCTTTTTCCTCACGAAACCGTTCGGCAAAACGGCATAGGAAAGTCTCGAAACGACATAGCCTTTTACCGTTTCATTCGGCCAGAAAAAGAAAAAAGAGTGGAATGGTTGAAGAAGAAAAACGAGAGAAGAAGAGTGACGAGAACGTAGCTGTCTTTTAAAGGCAAAAACCGGAGAGAGAGAAAGGGTGCTGATTTTTGGTGGGGAAGAAGAACTGCAAAGGGGAGAAACCCGCCTCTCGCCGCCGTCCTCCACCGAGTCTAGTTGTCCGCCGTCGCCATCCTGGTTCAGGACGCACATACGCCAGCTATTTTCGCCATCATTCTGCTACTGTTACTGCTGCCAGTGCCATTACGCCGTGGTTTGCTGACCAGGCAAGAGGAATGAACAGGTAGCATCTGGTCGCGTTTCCGTTGCTGTTGTTCATTGCGCCATTATCGCCTGAAAGTGGCGTGCGCTCTGCTGGTGACTGAGTCAGGGGAGGTCATCGATTGAAAAGCAAAGCTGAAAAGCGACGAATCCACCGGTTTTGTCGTGCTATCTCCGGTCATCGATTCTCGCTGCTGGAGTGCCATATGTGTATTTCATCTCTTTGAAAGTCCAATTCACAGAGGTAGTAATCGGTTTGAAGCTACTTTTATGGTGTTGGTGGAATAGGGAAACGATTTCAGACCGAATGAACTAACACGAGGAAGCTTGTGATACGTTGCTCAGTGAGATTGTTAGACGCAAATCTTATATTGGATCTCTTTTGTAGTAGTTGATGTTGTCGTTTGGTGTATTGGGGGTGAGGTGGGGGGACTTCCTCTTTTATTAGTTCCACACTGGAATCTGGTTGGGGTTTTGTTTTAACTTCGTCTCTTGGTTGAATTTGAGTGAGCTAAATTACCTGGTGGGAAATGTTGCTTAGTTTGGAAAGTGAACTTGTCTATTAACTTGGATTGAATCTTGATACAATGCTTTTGGTTTTGATGTAGGCGAGTTATTCCAGGCTAGGTCTGCTTATTGCATGGTTTTTTCTTGAAATAGGGTGCGGCACTACACTCTTTGCTTAATTTGAAATGGATTGTTTCTAGGTTCTGCAGCTGTGGAACAAGGTTGGTTCCCTGTTTGAGTAACAATTGGATTCTAAGTATGGTTTGGAGGTTTTGTAGTTCACTTTCGAAATGATAACTTCCTAGCTAGTGCTTGAATGATCGGGTTTATGTGGCACTGCCATTTTGAGGAGCATGAACGTTCAAAGAGCGACTAGATATCTTTAATGTCGAAAACATTGCTCTGTTTTGCTAATTTACTAGAGATGTGATAATTATAAATCCTGTTGCCTTTTGCTTCTATTGCCTTTAAGGTCAATGACTTGCCACTACAGCCCATCTATTGCAATTATTATAGGATGATCATGTACCTACGCATTCAAATCCATTTTTGTGCAAGCAGCTTTGCTTAACTTCCCATTGCATTTTAACTATTTCCTATCTTGCTTCAATTTTAGTATTTACAGTTGTGTTCTCTTTCAGCTTGGGCATCTTCACCAGGATTGCTTCCTCTAATGTCATTGGAACTCTTTTTATTTATTCCAAGTTCTAGATCTAGGACCCATACATTTCTAACACTTGTTTACCACTAGATTTGAATAGGCCTATCAGGTGGTACATATTTGGTTAGAGGTTGGGAGTGATGGAGTGTTTAGCTGTATTCTTATGTGCTTCTGCTTCCCTAATATTTACTTTCTAGTTGATTCTTGAAATGAATGGTTTCTTATGGATCATTTCAACTACATCAATTTACAAGTGATCATTAACACTCATTCTGACTGTGGTTTGACTGATTTTGACCAAATTGGTTAGTTAGACTTCAATGTAGTGTAGGTTATCGGACCATAGTTGATCATTCTACCCCATGACATCCTGGTTCACTCCCAATTTGGCTAATCTCGCCTCCACTTTTGGCGGCAATTGACCGGATTGGACCCAAGTTGACCATTTATCTTTGCTTTCCACTTTGACTAGTTTGACCTGGGTCTCCCTTCTCTAAATTTCACATCTCTCATCGGTGCAGCTGGACTATTATGTACCTTCTTGATGTGGTCTGAAATCAGTTTGTTCTTGGGGATCACAACCTCATTGCTATTGGCCTCCTTAGTTGGTGCTCTTTTCAACTGGCGCTCAAATTCAATATTTCAATGCTATTCATGCTTTTCCTTCATTTGACTGCATATGCAGTTACAAATCCTGTGTTCATTGGCGTCTAACGATAACATGGTGACAACTCATTTCCCTTGGAGACTAACTTTAGCACCTTTTGGCCATTTTCTTTCTTTTACATCATTTCTGTTTAGGCTGGGTGGGACAAGGATCAGCTATAGGAAATTTGTAGGCATCCTTGTTGTTTTTTTCTTACTTCATCTGAATCCCTTTGTAAAAGGACTACAATCTCTATCCAACTGTGGTAGTCAATGGAAAAATTGTAGGTTAATTGTTTAGCATTCAGAAGTTAGTGTAAATTAAGCTGTTTTTGTACGTACGGGAGAAGTTTCTAACCTTCTTTGGCCTCTACTGGTTCATGTAATCCAAAGAGTATTTGAGTTCTCTGAAGGAAATGAGAATTCCTTGTTCTTTTTTATCCCAGTACTTGCATGTGTATGTCTAATTGAGAAAGATTTTTCGTATCAAATATTTCTCTCCTTTATGAGAATGCTCCCACATGTCCACTTTGATTTCTTATGATTTGGAGTTCATCTTCAACATAGCTTTTTTAAGCGAGTGCGGGTGTGTTATTTTTGTTGGCATTCCAGGGTTGTTGCCTCTAGCAAAGTTTATAAACAACTTCTCACGGCGGAAATGAACAGTTGTTTTGCGGTCTGTGGATCATTATAAGTGTGCTTCCTGTTCTGTGTATTAGGAAGCAAAATATGGGGTCGTTATGCAGCAAACAACGCTATTTCGATAAACCAGAGAATGAGGAGAATGGACAGGTACGTAGTCCGTGGAATTTATATTCTTGTGCCTTCTACTGTATCTATGATCTCATTATTGAGGTATGCTCAATGCTTCAACTTAACAGTTAGCTATGTCATTTTTAGGCTGCAGAGATTGAGAGACGAATTGAGCAAGAAACAAAAGCAGAAAAGCATATTCAGAAACTGCTATTGCTTGGTATGTGCTGTTGGACATATACGCTAGTTATGCTAAGTACTTGGTTTATGTAAAGAATGTGGTAAATAGTCAGGAGGTCTCTAGGAGGCTACAGATTTCTTTCTGTATTATGGAGGATGATGCAACTGGTTTGTGTGGCTTGTCCGTTCATGGTTTGCAACAAGGTCCTTTCTAATTTTGGCATGGATCCATAGTGTTCCTTTTTTAAGAATATATGTCATGTTAATTGGCTCTTCGAATTTTTTCAAATAAGTTCGTCTCTTTATATTAAAAAAATCTACTGAGTTCTTGTTTCTCCAGGAGTTTTGAAGCAAAGAACAATACCAAATTAGGTCTTCTCCTTACTATTAATGGCATGTTTTTCTTAATTCAGGAAAGAAAGTATGTCATCTTCAGCCGTTTTCTTTTGCCGACGTGTGTTCATTTTTTCAATAATAATTTAAATGCAAAGTTTATTTATTTTTTCTGTTTCATGTATGTTGTTTTAATCATTGAACTCCTCCCCTCCCCCTTCCTTCTTTCTGCTCCTACTGAATTGACTTGTTCAACTGTTTGCTATAGGTACTGGAGACTCTGGAAAGTCCACAATATTTAAGCAGGTAAGATATTTATTAGCCCATTGTTTATCATTCAGTTGGTTTATTTGATATTTCTATTTTCTCATTTGTTTTATTATGCTATTTGGTGCAGATAAAGCTTTTGTTTCAAAGTGGTTTTGGTGAAGCAGAGCTAAAGAGCTATACCTCAATTGTACATGCCAATGTATACCAGACAATAAAAGTATGATTATGTGACAGGGTGTGTTGGTTTATTTCCCTTTACGATCAATGTAGAGAAAGATGTAGTCAGCCATTGATGGTAAAGGTTGGAGTACAGTTTCAAATGAGTATTTAAAGGACATCAACGTTTGTGTTTCTTACAGATATTGCACGATGGTTCCAAGGAGTTGGCCCAAAATGAAGCTGAGTCCTCAAAGTATATTATATCCAGTGCAAATAAGGTTTATGTTCGTCATTATAACTTGCTGAATGCATGCTATGAAGATTTTCTGTCAACTCTTTTAAGTGCATAGGAAGCGTTTGATTGTGTCAACATAGGCATGTTAAGGGCACTACTAGTAGTATAGTGATGGATTTAATCTACCAGGATGTTGGAGAGAGGTTATCAGAAATCGGAGGAAGGTTAAATTATCCTCAGCTTACTAAGGAGCTTGCAGAGGAGATTGGATCTCTATGGAACGATCCTGCAATTCAGGTAGTTTCTCATGTAAAATTATTTCCAATTATATATGCGATCTGTTGGCTGAAGAGTCCTCAGTTGCTTTAATTCCATAATTCATGAACCTTCTGTCTGTAGGAAACTTATTCCAGGGGTAATGAGCTTCAAGTTCCCGACTGTGCACATTATTTCATGGAAAATTTGCAGAGATTGTCTGATGCAAATTACTTGCCAACTAAGGTATCAATATTGGATGTATTATTCCTCGTGGTATCATAGCATGTGGCTTTAACCCATCAAAAGGATCATGACTTCCCATCAATTTGCTGATAATACGTATTACAGAATCAGAATGTAGTGATATTTGTGGATTGTCCAACACTATCATTGCCATAGTTTGCTACTGATATCCAGTGTTGGATATTTCATTCCTTTTGCTTTTCTGTTTTATATTACCTTTGCCTCTTCAGCAGTTTCTAAGCATATCTCATATTGCAGGAAGACGTTCTCTATGCAAGAGTTCGAACTACTGGTGTTGTAGAGATACAATTCAGGTTGGTAACATGCTTTACAATATACTGTTACTCATTTGATTTGTTTGGATATTTGATTGTTCTGTCACCAATTACTTAATAACGACGTGTTGTGCATTCACTTTCTAGGCATTGAATTTTGCTGGCCACCTATATCAAAGCATGTATATTAATTGAGCATGGGTTGGATGAAAAGTCTATTGTGTAACCTGAAGTTACCACACTCCAAAGAATGGTTATCCTTGACCCTCCTTGGGCTTCTAACAAGTTTTGAAACTATGTTTACAAAAGGAAAAGTATTCAAAGCATGAGTGCTTATCAAGTCTTAGGTTTTACTTTAGATATGCTTGATGCCATGGGCCAGCTATAGATTTGTTAAGTATCAGATGATAAAATTATCCATTCTCCTTTGCCTCGTCTGCATGGTGGCTTGTATAGTTGAAACAACAGCTTCTCTACACTTTTGCAGCCCCGTTGGAGAAAACAAGAAAAGTGGTGAAGTATATAGACTTTTTGATGTTGGTGGTCAGCGAAATGAGAGGAGAAAGTGGATTCATCTATTTGAAGGGGTTACTGCTGTGATATTTTGTGCCGCCATTAGTGAGTAAGAACATTTGTGACTTCTATTCCTTTTTATTTCTTGTGATTTGTCTGAACTTTAAGCATCGGCCATTGTGTACCAGCTATATGGTAGTTGTGATTTAGTTTTGAAGCAACTCCAGTCCAACAGTTAAAGTATCATCCCCAAACCCCAACTCTCAGATATTAACTCAACATTTTGATGAACAATTCACAATGAAAGTGCTAACTTATTCATTTTCATTGACTCTTATGATATGTCATTTGTTGTAGGTACGATCAGACACTCTTTGAAGATGAGCATAAGAACCGTATGATGGATACCAAGGAACTATTCGAGTGGGTCCTCAAGCAGCCGTGTTTTGAGGTTCTTCTTTCCTCTGTGGCTCCGCTCCAATTTATATCTTCATTTTGTTTATTATTCTACTTTTCTATCTTGTTGGTTTGCTTCTTGGGGTGGCCATCCTCCATATAGTTTGTTTACATATTACTCATGGATTGTTGTGGGCAGAAAACATCCTTCATGTTGTTCCTGAACAAGTTCGATCTTTTTGAGAAGAAGGTTGCAAATGTATGTTCCATGTCCCATGTAGTTTCTCTTAATTTAACAATACGGATAGGGGGGAACATCATTTCAGATTGCCAACTGGGTGTGCTGTGGTTTGGCAAATTGAACAGGTCCCGCTAAATGTATGCGAGTGGTTCAAGGATTATCAGCCGGTATCATCGGGAAAGCAAGAGGTTGAGCATGCATACGAGTACGTATTTCTGTACCTCAGTGCTGTAGGTTCCAGTTATAATCTGTTGTTGAATGATATATGGGTATCATTAACTGGTTGAGTTGTAACATAATTTTGTAATTAAGGTTTGTGAAGAAGAAGTTCGAGGAACTATATTTCCAAAGCACAAGCCCAGATCGGGTGGATCGGGTGTTCAAAATATATAGAACAACTGCCTTGGATCAGAAGCTTGTGAAGAAAACATTCAAGCTGGTGGACGAGACATTGCGCCGTAGAAATCTGTTTGAAGCTGGTTTGCTGTAATTGATGAAGAAGCACTAGACTTTTTATATTTATAATCTACTACTGAGTTGAAAGGAAAAGGAATGTCCATATAATCTCGGGTGGGGTATTGCCATTGGGGACGACGTAAACGATATTCTAAGGTGGGAAAAGTTTTGGAAAGTTATTCGTTTGCAGGCGTACAGAGTCGGATAGGAAGATCGAGTGAGGACGACGTCAATCATCATATTCTTGTGTTGATGATGAGGAACTCTGTACTGAGGCGGAGGAAGTTGGGAGTGGATCTGGTTTCATTCGCTTTTTTTCTGTGTCTCAAGTTTACACTTACTTCTCGTATTTATATTTAATATTAATTCTGTTCTTGGCATGCATCTGCATCTATTGACGTTCTTCTCTTATAAGTTGACTAGCTTTTTACCCCGTTGGCCGGAGAAATTTATTTTCTAATTTATATTAATTAACTTATTTATATGTTTAAATCATTTTAGATCTAATTATTTTGTGTTGTTGATTCATAACAGAGTTTTTAGTATATTTCTATATTGGGAATTTCCAATATTTAGCACACTTACTTGTGATGCTTCAGTTTTCTAATCATAAATTATGCAGCTGCCACGTTCCATTTAGAACTTATGTAAAAATTTGTCAACCAAAACACTAATATTAAGCGTACGCTAACCTGAACCACATATACACACACATATCTATATAGTTCAAGCTAGCGTGGGTCAAGAGTACGCTATACTCTTACGTTCACACTATCATACGACCTTTGAGATTTACTCTTTACACCCCAAATTAACTGGAGTTTTTTTGGGGCATGATACTATATCCTAACCCGGTGAACTCCAGTCCCTAATTCACCCATCCCCCAACCCCATGATAGAGATCCCGCTTTTGCCCTCATAACATTAGACAACCATCAGAGGCTATGGTTGTGATCAGAGGTATTTAGCCCCCGAAAGGGATTGGGATTTTAGGCCCTTTGGAAATCCAATACACATTCATGATCCTCGAGTTTGGACGAACTCTCGGCCAATGTAAAGATTAAGGCTTTTTAGTGAGAAATTCTTAGTAAAGATACTTAAGTATTGCATCAATTTTTTCATCCATATTGAAACTTGACACACACCGTAGCCCTCATGATGATTAAAGTATCTATTCTCGACTCATTTTCATTTTGGATGTTAGTTTTTTTTAATCAAGACACTTAAATTTAGTATATTATACAATTTGTATCAATTGTTAATTTTTGAAGTTTAGACTAAACATCAACCCGTGGTCATTGTTTATATGTTGGCTTAGAATCCCAATCTAAGACACTCACACACACTATCGAGGATTATGGTCTTAACATGGTCGTTGAATGTGTAATTTTCAAAGATTTTATCACTTATATATTAATAATTGATAAAGAGTGTATGCAATACACATATATTTCAAGTGCATTAAAATGTCTTATCATTTTAAGAATATCGGTGGATTTCATTTGATTATTTGCATTAACTTATTATCTTATACAACATATATCAATTCGTGTTTCTCGAGTTTGGACGAACTGACAACCAATTTTGAGAGTTGAGAATATTGGATAAAGATACTTGATTGCTGCATAAATATGTTTATCGTAGATTCTCAACAAATATTTCTCTAACCTTCACATATGTTATTTTTCAAGGAATCTTGTGTCTCATCCTAGGGTATGAAGTCAAAGTTTGTCAATAATCATACTTAAGTCATTTTGAAAATTTTGATTTATAATCTTCGACGATAACTCCAATCTGAAAGAAATTTTTTTAGCATATGATTTAGGACCTCAATAGAGCTTGTTCAATCAACTCGATATAGAGCAAATATTATTAATGTGAACTTAGGACACATTATAAAATTATTGCACATGTGATTCCTCTTCATTTGTGGAGTTTAAGGTAAAACATGATATGAATTAATAAGAAGTCTTTTTTAAATAAATAAATGTAACTACTCGATCAAGATTATACAATGACATTTTGCTAAACAATACTTGTTTTATTTTATAGAAATATACTTTACGAATAAGAGTTGTTTCATTGCAACAAAATATAAAGTAATATAGTTTATTTTTCAAAGGTAATTGAATGTCTAATGTTTATTTTCTCTTTTCATATAGATTTTGTTTAATCAATAAAAAATTATTGTTTATGTGTATGTTTGTTTAATTTTTTCATCAAAATGTAACTTATCTTTCAATTTTAATAAAAATGAGTAGAAAATTTACTTCATAATGTTTGATAAGATATTTTTTATATAAACAAATGTGATATATGTCACTCTCTGTTTTCTTATTTATATTTTGTTTACTTGACAAAAAAATTATTATTTATGTGTGTTCGGTTAAGTTTATCAACATGTACTTATTATTAAAGAAAAAAATAAATGGATAAACAAAAAAGAATAATTGGATAAAATAAATGGAAACACTAAAGAAGAGAGAGGTAGCTCCATAAATACATTAATAACTAATTTTTTGTTTATTATTTATGTGTGTTCGGTTAAGTTTATCAACATGTACTTATTATTAAAGAACAAAATAAATGGATAAACGAAAAAGAATAATTGGATAAAATAAATGGAAACACTAAAGAAGAGAGAGGTAGCTCCATAAATACATTAATAACTAATTTTTTGTTTTGTAAAAAAGTTATCCAACTTGGCAAATTGTGGATCATCCAAGTGCTTATGTGGCAATAGATTGCTTTTGAATTGTCATAATATATAGTATAGAAGATAGATAGATATAGATATATAGATAGATAGATAGATAGATATAGATATAGATATAGATATAGATATAAATAGATAGATATTACTATTACTAGTTGTTAGGCCCTAGAAAGTCCTCACAGGCTAACATAGTAATTATAAGGCTCTGATGTGGAATTACTCGTTTAATCTCTTTGGGAGGCAAGGAATCTGTGAGGAGGAGAGGAGGCTTTCGAGATCTACGCTCCGACGCCTAAATTATTACAATATAAGAGAATGGTGTATCATTGTATCTGACTGTAGAGAGAGAGAGAGAGAGAGTTTAGAGAGAGACCTTAGGGTGAGAGTGTGGGAAGGGAAGAGAGTCCTTAGCTTGGACGGTTTGGCCTCCTTGTATAGAGTTTGGGCCTTCTTGAGTGGGCTTGGGTCCAAGACGCCTTGTGTTGGGCTTGAGCCCATTAATAGTCGTTTGTCATATTAGGTGAGTTACTACCACACCCAACAATTGCCCCTTTGCTTCTTATATTCTGTAAAAATGGAAGGAGTAACATAATGCGTTAATGTGTATTAATTTGCCTTGTGAGTCTAAATGATGATGTGTTCTGCCCCTTGCTTATCTTTTTATGTATTGAATTAAAACACTCAAGTGATTAAGATTTCATTTGCTAGTCCATTGTTGTTAGCGCTAGTAGGCCATAACTGCGAGCTAGGTAGGGTGAGCCCCACGACTTGAGAGTTTTAACTCAAGGCACTCTTGTGTCTTACCAACGTCACATCCACGTGTGTCGGGAGCTCATGTGTCTTGCCAATGTCCTGCCTGTGTGAGGCAGGATCAGGTGTTTCCTTCTTGCCGATGTTGCCCTTACTAGCAGGCGTTCCATCTTCTAGCCTACTGGGGTTGTTCCATCTTTCTGCCTGCGGGCAGGCGTTCTTTCTTTTAGCCTGCCGAGAGGCATTCTGTCTTCTAGACCTTGGGGAGGTGTTTTTTGATAAGCGTGTTAGTCGTTCGGCTTCTAGGGAAGCGCTTTAGTCTTCGGATTCTTGGAAAGCGCATTAGTCTTTCAGCTTCCTGGGAAACACTCAAGTATTTTGGTTTTCTGGGAAGTGCTTTAGTCTTTAGCTTCTGAGAAACGCATTAGACTTTCGACTTTATGGGAAGCGCTTTGGTCTTTGGCTTCCTGGGAAGCATTTATTCTTTCGGCTTTCTAGGAAGCGCTTTGGTCTTCGACTTCCTGGAAAGGGATTTAGTCTTTGGCATCATGGGAATCACATTAGTCTTCGGCTTCCTGGGAAGTGCATTAGTCTTTCGGCTTCCTGGAAAACGTTTAATGATTTTTGCTTTCTGGGAAGTGCTTTTCTTTCATCCTGTGAGAGGCGCTCCGCCTTCCAGCCTGATGGGAGACACTCCATCTCTAGCCTCAAGAGAGGTTCTTCGTCTTCTAGCCTGCTGAGAGACGCTCTGTCTTGTTATTGGGAGGCGCTTCATCTTGTTTTTCTGTTGAAGGTGCTCCGTCATCTAACCTACTGATAGAACTCCGTCTTGTTTTTGGGAGGCGCTTCGTCTTGTTTTCATGCTAGGAGGCACTCGTCTTCAAACCTCATAGAAGGCGCTCTGTCTTCCAACCTGTTGGGAGGCGTGCGTCTTCAAGCCTAACCAGGAGAACATAGATATGTATTTGAGCAACGCCCGGAGGTGATAAATGTTCCTCTTCAAGCCTAGTCTGGAGGCGGGAGGCATGAATCGTTCCCCATAGGGAACATAGCTTAGAGGTGGAAGCATTCCCCGGAGGGAGCATTGCTTAGAGGCGGTGTCCTAGCCTTGCCCAGAGGTGAAGGGCGTAAATCATTCCCGGAGGGAGAATCGCTCGAAGGCGACGAAGCATTCCCTAGAGGGAACCTCGCTCGGAGGCGAGAAGCATTCCCTATATGGAACATCTCTCGGAGGCGGGAAGCATTCCCGAGAGGGAGCCATCTATCGTAAGAGGTTTTTGAGCCTTGTCCAGAGTCGGGAGGAGTGAATCGTTCATAGAGGGAGCATCGCTCAGATGCAGGAATCATTCCTCAGAGGGAGCATCGTCGGAGGAGATCTACTTGGGTTTAGGTAAATATCATTTATTAGCCAAAATTTCCAAATTTTTATAAATTGGGTGTTGACCGCCATATATCTCTTCTTAGTTAATATCATATTGTCAAGTCAATAATACTAACAAAAATGCTAACACAAAATTAGTTTTAGACAAATAATACTAACAAAACACCATGATAGGTCATATACATGCCCATACGCCATCTTCCCCGCACCAAGGTGCAACATCGCCACCTAGTTAAGTTTGAAATGTAGATCAAGGCGGAATATGCTCTTCTGTGTGGATATTTTTCGTCATGCGATGGTGATCAACATCAGGATGTTCTCGGCATTGTGATTTTGACATTGTTTAAGAGTGAACGACCTTTTATTCACTCCAACCGAACGATTCTCTTCCGCTATGGACAACATCGCTCTATCAACCAAACTTGTCTTCTTCGTTCAACCCCCGACCCTGTATGATGATTCTCCGACGATACTTTTGAATCAACGTACTTAATTTTTTTTGGAATAAAATTATGCGGGCTGGGTTTGACACTATTTACTCGATTTTAGATTTTGGTTTGGTCCAAATTTCACGTTGAGTATGTATTGTAATAATAGTCATAGAGATAAAAGATAGAGCTAACATAAATTGGTAATCAACATCTTGAAAGCTAGGAGATTGTAATGTTTGAATCATGCATCACTTCGACGATCTAAATAAAATCAAGAAACTACCTTTTATAGCTCAATCTAACCCCTGAACGTAATTAAACAAGCAAAAGCCAAAAAAAGAGGCAACGAATATCCCATTTTTAGTACACTAAGAGCCTTATAACACGACTTACTCTTTTAGATGAGTCTGCAATTTTTTGGAATAAAATACACAGGACGTGTTTGTTTCCTCTTTTATTTTCTAAATTTTCTCCCTGGAAGTTATGTTCCAAAGTTCCAACTCCATTTACTTGAAATTGTGTATAATCCTGTCACTTGAAAATGGAGAGCGGATACTATAACAATAGTCCATTTGTTGTTATAGTAACAACATGACTAGCTTATTACCCGGCCCGTTGGCCGGATTACTGTATGTTTCCCACTTGTGGAATGGGAGAGAAAGCAAGTGAGAGTGAAGGGATTGGGATTCCACTTGATTAGGATCGACCCACTAATCCGATTCTTCCCGACCGGCCCCAACCTAAAGGGTCAGAAAGAGTCAATAAGAAAATACGAACGAAGAGGATTAGTCATATATCTTGACTCTTCAGAAGTGGGTCAAACAGGATCAAAGTTGGGTGAGGGCAATTTTTAGCGCTAAACAGAGTTCTGGGTTGAATAACTTTACTTAGGCCTAGAAATTGGTGCTGATGCAGACTGCAGTTTTTATTATACCATCATCAATCATCATTGAATTAGTCCTGGGCATCCCTCCCCGTTGTCGGTCTGAATTCTACTGATGGCTTCATTTCTTGCACCAGCCATATCAGCGAGTTGTCATCTCGAGCATGATTTGCCTATGTACAAATGATACAATTAGAGTATGAAACTTAATTCAAAGAAAAGGAAAAGAGAATTCTATCACATGCCAATAAATACACACATAATAGTTGAAGCTAAGTGAAAGTCATTACTCGCACATCAATTCTAAAAAATTACAGACTAAACAATGGCTAGAATGGCACTGAAACTACCAAGAATCATGGACGAAACAACTTGTCAATTTAAATAATCCTTATACTGAAACTACCTTCTAACTTGAAATAAGACATGATTACAGTTCATAGCTCTCTTCTCACTATGAATTGGTTGCAACTCGTCCTTATCACTGCCTCCCAAGCTCAATCCAAACGGAATAGATACTGTTATGTAAGATAACCATATCCTTACTGATCATAATTCCTTTCTTCACTCCATTTTTGTCGAAGAAAAGAGTTATCCCCCTCTCCTGCATTTCCCTTTCCCCCCTCTCTTCTCCCTCTTCTTCACAAACCAGTCCCTAAACCAGAAACAACAACACAAAAATAGCCTTCGCCTCCGCCATCTCCATCTACTGAACACGTTGGTGGCAAGATAGGACTGCAGAAGCAAAATTTTCTAAAATCAAACTAAATTTTTTTAAGGAGACTCAACCACGAAAAAAGAGTAAAGCAACAATGCTAATAGTTCAGATGGTTGGTTTTGATGTTATACGTTGCTTTTGTTCTGGTCTCCAGTATATCAACTGCATCAGAGATGTTTCCTCCAATCATCTTTAGTGCACGATTTAGAAGCAAGTCCTCCTGTTTGTGTCAAACGGAAACATTCATGGGTTCTTAACTCCCCTGTTAGTGTAAATGTAGCAGCAACAAAGAAGTTTGACAACACAACAAGCACCCAGGCAAAATGATACAATGCAGTAGGTGATATGTGTCTCGAAGGTTTTGAGTTACTAAAGTTCATGTTAAAAATAAACATGAATTAAAATGGATTATTCTATTAAGCAAACATCCTCTCTAATCATACAAAGATCAGATATCCAATTCACAAACAATTAAGCCATAAAAAATCATCACACATCCACCACCTTTGATTGCCTAAATTTGTTTTTTCGCAAAGTTATGGACTCTTAAGTAAACGTTCATGGGTAGTCTATTTCATAACTCTAGAGAGCACAGTAAGCAGCCACCAGCTAGACACAGTGCGGTAGGCGAATATGATTCTCAATTCACAATTTCTCACCACTGGAAGTAAGAATAGACCATAATAAGCGTAGCATTCATGGGTGGTCTGTTTCATAGCACTACTACACAATTTGTTAAAAAAGAAAGAAAGGTATTTAGCATCACGACGGAAAAACTTTTACAGGCCAACAACGACAACATGCTGCAACCACCAGATTTGGTATCACAACTCATAGGGAAAATCAAAAGATTTACTCTCAAATTAAGTAGTTACAACATCGAGCAATCGTCAAGCACATACAACGTCACAAAAGTCATGGAACCTGATTCGCAAAGCATTCAAACATTTGAGGACATTTCTGCAAAGGTACAACTTATATGTCTTTTCTCTGAACCATTTCCATCAACATGCTAATAAATTTGCAATGCATAAAACAAATGGGCCAAAATCCTAATTATTCTTTAATTTTAAACTTTGTATTTGAAAATAAAAAATAGTGAAAGAAAAGAGATGACTGCAATTCGCCATTTGCACATCACTTATTCGGGAATAAAACCATAGAAATTCAAAAGGAACTGAAAATGTTCAGGATCGTTTTAATGTTTAAAATAACCAAATAGATCTTTCAGTTTAGTTTTATACTAACAAATATCAAACGATTCCCTATAAAATACACTATAATTTGATCATTATGATATCAAATAATTATATAATATATATTTGAAATGATAAAAATTGGACTAATTGGGTTGGTCGAGGTTGAACCATTGAATAACTTTAAAATACATTATATTTTAGCCACTAAGATATAAAATAATAGCATAATATATATTATGCCAGAGAAAATAGCTTGTTTTAGAATGGCAAACCAATGATGTTCATTTGTTTTACTTGATGGCCAAATCCCGTGTAGGTCAGACCCATTCAACTCTTTTATTTTATGGTTAGCGGTTAGCCATTAGATACCATTCATTAGTTTATTGTTAAATTTTTTATTTTTAACAATAAAAGGAGTATTATTTTTGCCTTTTCATATATATTTTATCACCACGGAGAAATAAAAGGGATTAAAGAAAAAAATTGACACTCTTGAACCCGTTTAAATCCGCATGTGTACGGTAAGTTGGCCCGTTCCACAGAGGAAAGAGAAAAAAATTGACACTCCCTATTCTACCCTTCCTACAAACGCTCCTGGAGCAGGGAATTTGAAATGGGGGAAGAGTTTTTTCCTCCCTGCTATTATATGTTTTTAATTTAAAAAGATACAACAAATCTACTTAGTGTGATTGGTTATGATTCTTGCTTTTCTATAAGATGGTCATGGTTCGAATCCTAGTACATGTCTTTTTAATGAATAAAAAAAAGTCATTGTGAAGACCAAAATGTCCTTCCTACTTTCACTCTCGTTACAGGAAACATACCCAAATTTAATTAAATAAAAATTGAATTAAATATCTCAATTCCCAGATCACTCTCATCTCCTCCTCTACCTTTCCCGACCGCTTCTCCTCCGTCCTCTCTTCTGCCCGCTTCTCCTCCGTCCTCTCTTCTGCCGCCGCCGAGAACGTCGCCTCCGACAATTGAGGCGTCGATCCTTCTCCTCCAATCTCAGGCAAGCAGTGCTCCTCAATCCGCCACTGTCCTGGACGAATTCGACGGCATCGAGATCATCTGAAAATTGGCCCCCGACGAGGAGGAAGGAGAAGAAGACAACAGATTTGACGGGATGAATTACTTTCAGATCCATTTCGAGAAGCAGCACAGGGAGAAGAATCTGGAAGGCCATTTGAGCCACAACACGACGGGATCTTCCACCGGGTTCCTAATCCTGTCTCTCGACTGGATCCTTGCGCCAGAATTAAGCTCTTCGACCGGGCCGCCGTCGTCCCATAGTTCAACCACGACGAGAATCCCTATACATGTAATTACAGGTTGGGGGTGTCGGGACACGAGGAGTGGCTCTCCCGGCTATCGGCGTGGTCGGTGTTGAAGCTTGGGTCGGTGGACGATGTTCTCGCCGAGCAGGATATGGGACTTCTGCGTCGGTGTTGTGGTGCAACATCATACAACTACTCCATGTCGATTTCATCAACAATCGACATCACCCTGCTGTTCCGGCGACATTTCTTTGTCTATGAGTCCCGAGATCTGTTCGATTCATTCTTCTTGAACGATCCCCCCTCATTCCCCTGTCCTCTTCTTCTTCTCTTCCTAGGAGAAAGACATAAGATATGAGATACACCAACTACTGCAATTTAAGAGCCTCGGGTCAATGAAATTGAAAAACCCACTACCGCAATTTAACTCATTTTAATTTTCATTGCAGATATGAGATACACCAATTTAGTTCACTTGTAATTGCAATTAGCGAGTACAAGTCAATTTTATAATTGTCCTAATGCAGAGCACAAGTCACTAAAACCAACCCAAAATAGAATAAACCAAATCACAAGTATTTCTAACACCAAAAACCCCCTAATTCAAACCATAAACGCAATAAAACAACCCACAAAAAACATACCGGAAACCTCCTAATGCAAACCACAAATTCGCTAAAACATATCAGAAACCCCATAAAGCAAACCATAAATATTTTTAAAAGCACACCAGAAACCCCCTAATGCAAACCACAAACACGGTAAAGCAAAATACACAAAGCAAACCAAAAACGTCCTAAATCCTAATGCAGATCACAAATATATTAAAACAAACCAGAAACCTCGCAAAGCAAACCAAAAAAGTTTCGAAAGCACACCAAAAACCTCCTAATGCAAACCACAAATCTCCTAAAACAAACCACAAACCTCACAAAGCAAAACCACAATATTTGTGAAAGCACACCAAAAAATGAGGGCGTATTTGTTTTGACGTTTTGCTTGTATTTTGAATTCGAGAAAATAGTGTATAAATATCATACCTAATAATTTTGTTCATAGCAAACTAAACCGGGTCGAATCACTATTTAAATCAAATTGAACCTAGCCAAACATGATTATTTGGATTTTGGTTCAGATTAGACGTTGGGTGTGTAATAGTATAAAATTTTATTAATTTACTCACATAATTTCAATATTTGAACTACAATTGTGGCGGCAATTATATTCTTTTCTTGAAGCTGCAGTGGAAGTGATTAGTACTTGCATGTCTTCTAATTTTAGAAAGAAATAAATTAACTTCCACCACCGTTCCAAGAGAAGAGACACTATGCCAGCTGCCGATGGTTAAGCTTCGCACTTCACAACATACATATGACCGATGCTTCCATGGAACGAATGACTCCAACCGATGTGATATCTATAGAGAGCAAAAATCGTAAATTAGATTAGAGGCTTTTTAATTAGCTTTGTAGTAGAGCAGGACGTTGGCACAGCAATAGAGGTTAGTAGCAAAAGCAGCATATCAACGACTTTTGCTAATAGGGAAACACACGGAGATTGAACATGAAGACTTCTCATATCAAGCAATTTGACAACATATCCCTACTAAGATTTGCACAAAATTGTTTAGCTTTCAAGGCAAATTAATTAACGTAATTGTTAGAAATCGAACAGAAAAATGAGGGTTACCGATTTGGCTGAGTCGCAGACTAGGTCGCTCTCTTTAAGACGTTCGCGGCACTGCCTTCATTGCGCACGGCAGACTATCAGCCGGTCGCCTCCAGGATAAAACAACCACTCTAATTTAGTTTGCTCGGCGATTTTGTGCGAAAACCAGAGCTCTATGAATTCACTCTCTCTCTTGTTTATGCTCTTCTAAGGTGTATTTAGAGGGTCTAGGGGTCTGCTATTTATAGGAGCAGAAAACCTAGAATATTCCCTCTTTCTATGGGAATAAGCCACATTTTAATTAGGAAGATAATTACTTTCATAGTTAAAATATATTATATTAAGATAATTAATCCTAATTATCTCCATAATATTCTTTTTATTAATTATCCTTCCTATTTTCGTATCTAGAAAGAATAAATGATAATTAATTCAATATAGCTTTCAAAGCTATTCATTCCCAACAATCCCCCACTTGAATAGTTTTGAAACTATCTCTCAGCATCAACAAATCCATAAGATCGGGCATAAGCTAAGGTATCGCGAAGATTTGAACCTTAGCGTAGTGGTTACACTTCCGATTTCATAAGGGTGACTCGTAATCTTGAACCCTATCTCAGACAATGTAGCACACCGGATCTTTTCATTGAGTGATATTCTCTCATAGGCCGTGCGTTTATGGCCATGCACGTTATCCCGGTTTAGTGAACGATCTAGCAACTTTGTGCCTCCAAAGTTCCATAGGGAGCGGCCCCACTCCCACATTCACAGAGGTGAGTCTATCAGGAGTACCCCCAAAGTAAATTACTCCACCCCACATAGGGTATAGATCTCATTAAGAGTTGTTTACTCAACCTCCATTGCTTTGGGATTCATGCTTCACTATGCATGAACTTTTCGCATACTACTCATGACTTGTTATTACCCATTGAACCCATTTCTTGGGATCTCCAGTCTATTGGGTGGGTTACCATCACTTGTAGTCCGTGGTTCGGTAGGCATAAGTCCCATACATTTGGCGATATTTTGGACTTTCTCTCTAGATAATCCTTTCGTCAAAGGATCAACTGGATTCTGTTAGGACCTTACAGGATCCACCCTCATTGCTCCTATCGTTAGGAGTTCTCTTACAGTACCATGCTTACGACGAATTTGTCGTCTCTTTTTGTTCTAGAACCGGTTCCCTTCTTTAGTAATAGTTGCGGTGCTATCACAATGAATCAACTACCAGAGGGATCGGTCTTTCCCATAAGGGAATCTCTATTAATGACCCTCTCAATCAACTTTTCTCTTTACTAGCCATTGCTAGCTCTATCATTTCTGATTTCTTAGTTGATTGAGTCAGTATCGTTTACTTCTTAGAATTCCAAGACACAACACTTCCACTGATGTTTAAAACATGTCCACTGGATGCCTTGGAATCTTCTATAGGGTATTCTCGTCCGCATCAATATACCCTCCCAATACAGCAAGAAACCGTTCAAAACATATATCAAGGCCTACTGTTCACTTAAGGTGTCTCGTGACCCTTTTCAATAGCATTTCAATGCTTCATAATAGGACAATCAATAAGTCTGCCAAGTACCCCCCACTAAATCGGGTCTCATGTTTATCAGCGGCCTCTCATAGACTGTAAATACTAGTATATTCTAACTTTCTTACACCGTCTTAGGTGTTCTTTAAATATTTATACTAGCATCATCAAACATGTATGCAGGTGTACATCTTGTATTTTCCTAGTTATTAGGATCTCTAAGCATAACATTTGTTTCATTTAGATCCTTCACATTCAAAATTCTCAACCATCATGGTTTTTCAATATTGACATCACAAGTCTTTGTACCAAAGATCGACGTGTCATTCATAATGCAAGTGTCATTCTCAAATTTGTACTAAATGCACTTGTCACTTTCAATTTTAAAACCACGAGAGAGAATCTGATTTTTCACGCCATTGTTTTAGAGTCATTTTCAAATCTTACCATGATTTGTCTAACCATAGACTCTAAAGCATGTTTAGGAATAACAACCCTTTAGGTTGTCCCATGTAGATTTATTTATCTAAATCACCATTCACAAAAGAATTTTAACATCCATGTGATGGATGTTATTCTACATATTGGTGAATAGATATCAAAGAAATCTATTTTTTTCTCTTCACCTAAAGCCTTAGCTACTAGGCGATCATTATACTCGTAAACTAAACCATCAGGTTTCAGTTTTCCTTTTAAGAATCCATTTATTACGTAGGCTTCATTGCCAAAAGGTAATTCTCAAATATGCCAAATCTTTTCGATTTCATCGATATATTACCTAAAGATGTACAACAAAAAGGTAACTCTACAATAATCTAAGTCTTATTAGACTCTCATGATTCCATTTTATTAATAATGGCTTCTTCCCACAAATCTGCACCTTACAGAAGTTTGAACTTCTACCAGACTTGTAGGATCTTTCTTAGGGTGTAAATAACAAACTCATAACCAAAATCCTTTATCGATTTATGGTTCGTTTGCTTCTTCTGAGTTCATACTCAAATTCATCACCCCCACTAGATCCATTATTTCTAATAGTAGGCAGGACACTACCCCCACTATTTCTTGATTTAAAATGGAAGTTTATTGGTATCGATGGATTTCACAACAACATGAGTATTTCGTTTCATAGGAACTATGTGTTTTTTATAACATAAACCACACTCATATGCTCTTCTAGTTATTGCTATACTTGTTTGTTAACTCTACCACAAGTATGCAATTTATTGAATAATCAGTGCAATCAGTAACAATGCAATAAAGCATTTCTCAAGCTATTTCAAATTAGCATCTCCAATAACTAGACAAAACACTTTATAGAGCAATAAATAATTTATTGACTTTCCACCTTGTATTCCCATATCAAAATAAATCAGATCTATTGATTCTGATTCTCTAACCACATATTTATGGGTCATTTAGTTTGGATATACAAAATTCATATTTTGCTCAAGCATCCAATAATAATATGGGAATGTGATATATGATATTCTAATTCTTCACACAGACACACTTGGAAGAATTTATCTTATCTACTTAACCATTCCTCACATTTAGCATAGTCAACGACTTTTCATAGGTAGGGTTCACATCCGCTTTCCTAGAACCATCAATGGTGGTGGTGAGAGTCGTGCTCAATCCACACTTTCGTCTCGCACCTCAATTATGTATGATTGAGCTTAGCTCGTTATCACACACACGCCTTGAGGCGGTTGTATCCACAACCATTCTATAGAGTTACCCTTAAGGTTAACCTCTATTCTTATCTCATTGATCATTGCTACCAAATTCTCTTCTTTTATCAAGTTAACAATGGTACCATGTTAAACTTGTTCATACACTTTTGTGTCATATGATCTAGTTTCCCGCAATCATAACAGAGAAACATAGTATCATTTTAGAGGATTGGACGACAATCTGTTGGCTACCACGAAGGGTACCATTCTAGTTGGTGTGGATCTGGTTCAGCTTGTTGCTCTTATTTTTGAAACTTCAATGTTTCAGAGCAACCTTAGTGGTTCATGTAGTACTAACATTAGTACTTCTTACAATATCTTTAGTATGGGCTATTAACCCATTCTATTCCCATATATTCTTCATATATATGCACGCATTTAAACAAAATAATTATACTCCACAACACGTATTCAATTCATACTATAATCATTGAGGAAAACACATCTCAATGTCGACATAATCATGCATCAATACTAGATTGCTTCACAAGATTTCTCAGTTCCATGCATAGAATCATTTTGAATGGATTCTTATATATTCATTAATGACTCAAAAAAGGTTTCAGTTCAAGTAATTGACGTAACTCTTAGCTCGAATTCATTCCTTACGTCCCAGTCAATACATTATTTCCTCTCGTTCAACGTCTGATTCCTCTCCACTTGGCTCAATATTTTGAGTCATGGATAAACTTGGGGCTCGGTCGGCTGCTATTTAGAGCATCTTATCTGCAAATTTAGTCTTGTAGCCGCGCTGTAAGGAGCGAGCCCCCCGGAAGAGAACGAGGAACAGCTCTTCCATTTACTTGGCCCAGTTTGGTATTTAACTAGACAATGAAAGGATCCAGCTTGCTATGGACCGAATTCACTTGTAGCCAATGTCTTCGGTTCTCCACTTGAACCGTCCAAACCAGTTATATTTGGGCCTGAACTTCAAGTAATTCAAAGCCCAGTCAAAAGCTGGGGCGGGGGAGGTGGAAGGATTGCTTTGTCTCCACTCTCCACGAAAACCTTCCATCCAATTCTGCTCCCACCTAGCTTACAACTCCTGCCCAATTCTACCTTTTCACCTTCCGCCACCATTCCCCTGTAGCAAGGAAAGCCAAAACAAAAAAGAGAAAAAACCTCTCCTTTTTTCCCCATCGCAAGCAGGGAGGCTGGGACTTATGGACAAGAGCAATTAATCAACCGTATCATTTATAGCTGAAAAGTAAAACTACACCCCATTCAAATTTTCCAGCCCATAGAGTGATTTTAGGAAGCTGATGTGGCAGGGTGTTAAGCAGGAAAAAAATAGAACTCCCCGCCAGATTGCAGAACTAAGAAACCGTCCACTACCCACCTTTTCTCCTGGTTTCCCACGTTATCATTTAGTTTTCAATTAGTTTTCATTTAGTTTTCGTTTGGCTGAAAATAAGCCCACCTTTTCTACTGGGTTCCCAGGTTATCCTTTCGCCTACCCGCAAGACAAAAGGAGAAGCAGTTTCCATCGGAATATTCTGGTAAGAGGGCGTCACAGTTTCGTGTTCAGCGGAGGAAGGCGCTGACGGCCGGCTGTTGCTGAGTTCATGGGAAGAGGGCCGGACGCTTTGGTGGTCAGCGGTGAAAAGCAGTGACGACCCGCTTCTGATGGGACTGGGGAGATCGCGTTTGGAGTGCAGCGACCTATCTCCGTGGCGAAGAGGTTGTCGACGATCGAGGCTTTCCCCTCCGGCGAGAAGCACAACTACTGCCGCCGCCACCACCGTCTCCCCCGCCGCCACGAACCCTACTTCTTCTTTCTTCTCTGCTTCAGCCTCTAGAAGGTCGCTCCAAATCGCTCCAGCTACTCTTGAGGAGGCCCCCCATCACTCTCAAGCCAACAGTATTTCCTTCTTTCTTATTAGGGTTTAGGCTCATAATTGGTCTTTGTTTTATGGAAGCAACGCTGAAGTAAAAAAAAGG